GGGTTTGTTGGCTGACTAATTTGAGACAGCTCTTGGGTGTATATGTAAATACAACTATAAACTTCTGATCTCAACATGTCCAAAACTGAGCTCAGACTCTCCCACCACCCAAACCTGATCTTCCTCTGGTTTTAACTCAGTAAATGCTAATTTCACCCATCCAGCTGCCCAAGCCAGAAACCTGGATAGAGGACAGTCCCAATCCTTCACTGATTTTTTCTTCCACTCCCATCTCCAGCCACCAAATCCTGGTTTCCTTTACTATTTCTCACATCCACCCACTTCTCCCCTACTTTCTATTTCCCCTGGATCCAGGCCACCATCAGCTCTCTTCTAGGTCATCACAAGACTCCTAAACTGTCTTCCTACCATTCACCCCACTGCTCCCCAATACAGTCTTAAAACCGTAGCTCAAAGGATCTTTTTTAAAGTAAATCTGATCAGATCGTAGCAATATTGCAATTTAACCAACTCACACAAGCAAACAAAATGTAGCTTCTTTATTGCCTTTCATTTTTTCATGGATTCTCATCCCACAGAGTAGTAGAGTACAGTGGGAAGAACTTAAACTTGCCAATTGAGACCACATTTATTTGTTCTATTTTTAAGTCTCTTTCAAGTAGCTCAAACTTCCCTGGAATCTGGTTCTAACTCACAGGCTCTTTCTCTCTTGTATTTTTCAAGAACACTATTAATCTTACAGCTCCTGGAAATCTTTCTGCCACCCATCAAAAAGATGAGGATCCTCTGGTAATGGTTCCTTAACAGGAGCTCCCTCTTCACTCATCAATCTACTAAGTCCAGGTTATCCCTCACTTTGTGTAACTTGGCTGACTTACAAATATCTAAATCAAGACTATTTCTGAAGGAAGATATAGCTCAGTGGTACAGTGTCTGCTTAGCTTGCACGAGATACTGGGTTCAATCGCCAGTACCTCCATTAAAAGTAAACGAATAAACCTAATTACCCCACTAAAAATAAAATTTAAAAAAAATTTTTTTAAAGGCTACTTCCTATTCCAGTACAAGTTATGTAACTGAAGCCGGTAATCTGTGACCTAGTGAACCCAGTCCATTAGTACCTTTATAGGCTCTAAAATGTTACATGGGGACATAGGGCCAGCAGTGAAGTGTTCTCCAAGAATCTGAACAAAAACATTCAGATTATCCTGTGAATACTAGATATTTTTTGACTTGCAGTTTTTTACTTTTTCTGATAAAAGTAATAAATGTATTGTAAAACTGCACTTTATATTTAAAAATCAACACAAACAGAGGCATCGTAGCTATTACTTTTGCCTATCCATCACTCTTTCCCCCATCTCATGTTAACAGACTATCAGCTTTACAAAGGGGTTTTATGGAAATCAATTTGCAGTCATATCTCTTCCTGGACACAGCAACTGGTCCAAGGATGGACACATGAACCCAACAGAACTACTGAGAGTCTTCCTAGGATTTCTTTACTGGAGATGTCAAGTGAAGAGTCACTTGTTTTTCGAGTCACTAAATCAAAGATTGCCTGCAGACATGTCAACCTCTCCCTGAGACCCTCCACCATGGAGACACCCAGGTTCCGATGCAAGAGAATGGAGCTAGCTTCAGAGGGAAACAGAGGTCAGGCAGATAGAGAGCCCTGACACCATTCAGACCTCCAGTCCTACTCGTTCCTTAAGGTCAGTGAGACCCTTGCCCTTTCAATTTGGTTGTATTTTTCAATATATTTCCTTTTGTTGTTCAAGCTGAAGTGGGCTTCTACTAGTGCAGCCAAGAGTTGGTAATGCAGGACGAAAGCAAGGACACACCAATTTAGAATCCTGGTAATAATCGTGCGCTTTAAAATCAGACAGACCTGGATTTAAATTCTGACTCTTTCACTCATTATCATGTGACCTTAGATAAATTACTTAACTCTCAGCTTCCTGAAGTTTCCAATGAGAAGAAGTGACACTTATTTTGCATCGTCTGTGGGAATTCCTTGATACGTGTATGTGCCAGCTGACGGCACCAATAAATATCCTGTAAAAATGTCGTTTATTGTTATCGTTAGTGTCATGACCCAAGAGAGTAAAATTACTTTCAGGCCAGAGCAAGACTTGAACATAAGCTGAGGTATCAATGTATCTAAAGAAATATGGCATTCATCCACAGAGGGTTTAATCAAAGAGCTATACTTTGAGTGGTCCCTGGCAAAACAACATAAATATGGAGACCTCCTGGCAGATAAACACACCTGAATCTCTCTACGGGAGTGCCACTATCCATTTGGTACACACAAGCGACACCCTTGTTCCGAGCCTGTATTCATCAAAGCGCCCCTTGACGTGGTCCATTGGACAATTCCCCTAAGGGAGATTAAGTGGAGGTTGATGAGACTGGGATCCCTTCTGCTGCTGCCTTTGCAGCTCGTTTTTAACGCTGTCTTTCCCTTTGGCTGCTTGCCCCAAGGAACGTGATATCTAGTGTTTTTATCCTCGAAGGCTGGATTGCCTACAAGGGCCAAGCAGGTAATATAAATAAGAAGCAGGCTGGGTGGGACACAGGAGGACTTGCTGAAACACAGAAGACATGCCTTATCTTCCTGGTGCCAGCCGATTGTTGCATATGGAAATGCAGACCCAATATTGACAGATTGCCTGATTTTGAAAAGAAGTTTGAAGTGCAGATTTATAAAATAAATATAAAATATATTTATAAAATGAGGCTCTTTTAAAAGAATATTCAATGCTATGTAGGCCAGATAATACCTACTAGACTCAGCCCACAGGTACGAGTTTGAATGGGATAGAATAACCTCAGTTAATAGCTTCACCGCCACATCTTCTTTCTGTATTCTTCTACTACCAAGATAAGCACATATTCCTTTGAGATTCTCTATATAAAATTCTCATTATAGAATACTTAGAGAAAGACTGCATGATAAAAATGGGTACTTAATTAATAAATGCTCTTAATAATTTTAAATATCTATTTAGAAGTGGCGCTAAGCTTCTACTACCTTGCAAACCCCACCAAAATAAAAGTAAAAGGATTTGGTAAAGCATAAACCCAAAAAGATAAAGAAAATGGCAGATATGAATACAACTAGTAAATTTTAGAAACTGAGGAGCAGAAAGATTAGTGGTTAATGACTTAGCAGATCTCAGAAAGCAAACAGTAGGGAAAGCCAAGAATTAATCGGATTATACCACAGAACTCCCAAAACCTTGGAAACTGGCAACATTGAGTAATCTTAAACTGGGGATGAAAATAGGGCTAAAAACCAAGAAGACTGGTTGGAAGAATGATTAAGAAGCAATCGGGTGGAGAGTACAGCTCATGGGGGGTGGGTACAGTTCAGTGGTAAAGTGTGTGCTTAGCATGCAAAAGGTCCTGGGTTCAATCCCCAGTATCTCCATTAAAAAAGTAATAATAATAAATAAATAAATCTAATTACCTCCCGTTCTCCAAAAAACAAAAATTTTTAAAGCCAAAAATTTTTTTCTTAAAAGAAGAAACAATTAAAATTCCCAAATCTCAGGCTACTTCAGGAGAAAACTGAAGGCTCCCTCTCAGGACAGGATAAAGAAAAGATCTATGGCTCAGAGGACACCAAGCTAAGTCAAGGGCACTGGGACCAGTTCTGAAAATAAAGGGATTGTGAGAAATCATACAAACTGAATGTTGAGACCTTCTTCTCCTTCCAGCTTCCAAAACGCTGACAGCCAGAATCAGAGTCCTCAGAAAAGAGCTCAGAGGTGCTTTCCCTGGGAGAGTGCAGCCAGGCTTAGGTAAAAGAATTGAAGATGCTAACACTGGGTTCTCCGATAAAACTTTCAGTGAAGCAGACAGTTAGCAAGTCAGACCTCATGCCAAGAGACTCCAAACAGCTTCCAGGGCCCCACTCTTAGCTATGACCAGACAGCCAAGCATCACAAGACAGTTAAGAAAGCATCTAAAGTAAAAGACAGTGAGGGGAAAGAAACAATGCAAAAAGTAAGCAGGGACAACGCAATGAGAGGAAACCTGACCAAAGAGTAGCATTAACATCTTCAGAGGCAAACAACAACATTAAAAAAAAATTCAGATCATAAGGAAAAACTCAATAGAAGATGGAAAGACCGTTTTGAGAAAATATCCCCAAAAGAAAGCAAAGAGACAGTGACGGAAAATAGGGACATTAAGTACAAATTAGAGAATTCATTCAGCGTGTTTGTTTTCCAAATAATAAAAGTTCTAGAATGAAAGAACAGAGAAAATGGATGAAATAAAATCAGCACTAAAATAATTTAAGAAAATTATCCAGAACTAAAAGGTATGAGTTTCCTGATTGAATGGCCCTCTGAGTACTCAGTCCAATGGACAAAAGTAGCTGTACACCCAGATACATCACAGTGAAATTAGAGAACCCTGGGGCCAGAAAAAACGATAATCTTACAATTTTCCAGAGAGGAAAAAACAGGTTTCATACCAAGGACCAAAGATCAGAATGACACTGGACTTTCTAGCAAAAACATGGGAGAAAATAATAAAGCAATACATTCAAAATTCTGCAAAAAAAAAAAAAAAGATTTCCAACATGGAAATACAGTCACAAGAAAGCCATTGACTATTTTGGGTAGAATAAAGACATATTCAGACATGCAAAGGGTTAGACTATTTGTCTGCCTTGCATCAATGTACAGAAAGCAAGTGGAAGGAATGCTTTGTCAAAGTAAGTAAATAAACTGAATTAAGAGGAAAAACTAGTATCTTCAGAAAAAGAAGACAGGAAATCCCAAAAGGATGGCGAAGGGAAACAAAACTTAGGTAGGAAAGGAAAAGAACTAATACTGCCTGGCTCATTCCATATAACTTGTATGAATTACATCATACACAATACACTACATATTATATAATTGTCTTATGTAAAGATTGAGCTTTAATCTGACCAAAATATAACTCTATTTAAAAGAAAGATGGAAAATATGGGTAAATTTAGCAGTAGTCGGAAAAGTGTGTATGAAAAGTTAAATTCTCACCTTCTGTAGTTAAAACTCAAGAGATGATTCTTAAAACTGGAGAGAAAGAGAGACAGAGAACATGTTATTCAGAGTTGAAGAGGTAAATACCACGCCCCACAAATTATTTAGTAGAGTAGAGACTGGTTGCCTGTGAAGAAAGGGAAATGAAAAATATTAGAGGAAGAGGATGGGACAGGAGAGGGGCAGAGCAAGGGGGTGCAAAAAGAAAAATGAAGACTTTCAAACAAACCTTAAAACACAATTTGGCTCTTTTGAGTTGTGTACATCTATAATGTTGTTAAACATGAGAACTAAATGAAAAATAATTTGAGCAATGTTATTTTAGACTATTCCTAGTTAATGAAAGAATAAATTGAAAGAAAAATTATTAACATTATTATTTTCTCCCATGTTTTGGCTAGAAAGGTATTTAAGTAGGTAATGAAACATTTTTATGGATAAATGAATAAATCAGTTACAGATAAATATTAATAGTAAATATCAGTGAATGAATTCAGTGAATGAATCAATTAAATTTCTGGATGAATAAATAATGAATCAAAAAAAAGAATTACAAAAATACCACCAAGCTCTTTTAACTTTCAACTTCTTGTATTTGTTTCTGTGCAAATTTCTATCATCGATTCAGTCACTAATCGTTCCTGGCATAGAATAAATATTAAGCAATGTTTGTTTTTTTGAATGAACATGGGAATAAATGTTGTAAATGGATTCATTCTCAACACTTTCAAAACTTAGAGTAAAAAAATACTTTCACTTTCTTATAAGGTGTCTCTTTCACTTGTCATTAGCTGGCACCCATTCTGCTTTCAACTTCTTTCTTTCATTCTTCTGATTATTACATAGTCACAAAATCTGACTTTAAATTTCCTTAGTACGTTATAGTGTCTTTGCATTCAAAATACAAAAAAAAAACTTTAAGAAATGATTAACAATTTACAATCTAAAGTACTAGTTTCTTTCATGTCTAGGGTAAGGAAGAGATGAATATCTCATAAAGGGATTTGGAGAGAAAGAAAAGAGATTTACTTAAACTGGTTCTATGCATCAGTCCTAGAGATGAGGCCATTTAACCTCAGCAGAGCAAAGTGAGTAGAAGCAGGTAGGCTGGGAATCAAGAGAGAGAAACTCAGTGCCCTTGTGACTCTCCCCACCCCAGGTCTCCTTGCACAGTTTCTTCACTTGGATCGGAATGCCATAAATTTCCAGAGCACCGGACGCGCCCAGCTTCCAATGCAAGTACAAAAACATATTTCATCGCCAAATCCAAATTACTTTTATATCGTCTACCATTTGAGATTATGTCCTGTTCTTTCCTTTTCCGTCGGAGCAGATAAGCAAGAGTCAACTGTGTAGTCATTAACTAAGAAAAAGAAAATGGGATTAATGAATTGACCAGAACTGCTGCAGGGTCACAATGGTCTGGGGACTAGAGGACGCTGTTTGGTATCACATTCCCAGCTCAATCAGTGACTAATGCAAGAGAGTGAGTAACTGCTTACCTCAATTTCACTGGTAGGTGAGAACAACATGTCCTTCCTTCTTCCTAGCATGCTGTGAAAACTGAAAAGATAACATCTTAAAATACCGAAATACTTGGAAAAAAATGATACCACAGAAACATGATCTTATCACCAAACTCCAAGGTAACATATATTTTCTTCATACACAGCACAAACAAAATTCTTTCATAACAGACACAAAAATTTGATAAGCAAGGAATTGCAATCTTCTTTGTGAGTAAAGCTTTTATCAAGAGCTTTAGAGAAAATAAATGTCTACCCTCAGTCATATGCATTTATTTGCTTTCAATAAATGTTACATATATTCAAGTGAGAGAAAAACTTGGTCATAACTTTAACCAAGGTTTAGATTTAAGTCTTTACAAATGAAGTATAAATGTTCCCTGAGGTTTGGAGGAAACAAACAAGTATAATTTTAGGCTACTTTTCATTCTAATTTCATTCTGAAATTTCAAAGTCATTGATACTTTTAAAAGACAATTAAAAAAAAAACTTACCTTGAGGGTAAGTATGAAAACACGGTCCTTATTTTGTAAGATAACGGACATTATCTGTTAGTAGAAGTGTCCATAGAAATTGGCATTTGTGCTGGAGATGGTGTGGAGAAAAGGGAACCCTCCTGCGCTTTTGGTGGGAATATAGTTTGGTGCAGCTAATATGGAAAACAGTATAGAGATTCCTTTAAAAACTAGAAATAGACTTACTCTATGATCCAACAATCCCACTCCTGGGAATATATTGGAGAAAACTCTAATTCAAAAAGATACATGCACCCCAATGTTCATGGCAGCACTATTTACAGTACCCAGGACATGAAAGCAACCTAAATGTCCATCAACAGTTGACTGGATAAAGAAGTTGTGGTCTATATATATGATGGAATAATACTCAGCCACAAAAAATAATAAAATAATGCCATTTGCAGCAGCATGGATAGACCTGGAGATTGTCATACTAAGTGAAGTGAGCCAGATAGAGAAAGAAGTATTATATCACTTATATATGGAATGTAAAAAATGATACAAATAAACTTATTTACAAAACAGAATCAGACTCATAGACATAGAAAAACTTGTGGTTACTGGGGAGAAATGAGGGGACGGTGAAGGGATAAATTGGGAGTTCGGAATTTGCTGATACACACTACTATACATAAAATAGATAAACAACAAGGTCCTACTATATAGCACAGGAAACTATATTCAATACCTTGTAATAGCCTATAATGAAAAAGAATATGAAAAAGAATATATATGTGTGTATAACCGAATCACTATATTGTACACCAGAAACTAACATAACATGGTAAACCCGCTATACTTCAGTTTAAAAAAAAAAGAAATTGACATTTTAACTTTCAAACTATGAGTCCAGATCTACTGATCACAGTGGCAAAATTCCAGGAAGAATTCCATACATATGTTGTAGATAGCTAAATATGCATTAGGTCAGAATATAAAATGTTTCAAATTTTGTGCCAACTCTAATCATTAGTAGTTTCTAGAGCATTGTATTGAAAAAGTTCTGAAGCCACATCTGGTTTCAGTAACAGGGTCTGTGATCAGTTAACCATGTGTCATGGTCACAGGGACAAAGAGTGGTGACATGTGCATTGTATGTGCCATCTCTGGGATAAATAGCCAATGTCCTTTAACACAGTGGCAATTTCATTATTAGTTCTTACTCTCTATCTTAGGTGGTATTAATATCTATTTGTAATTGAGAACCTGCTAGTCACCACATCTCATGCTTTTGACATTTTCCAAACAGAATCATCTCATTATTCCTCACAATAATCCTCTGATGGCTGTATTATCATCCGCTGTTCCCAGATAAGCAAATGGAGCAAAGAGATTCAGCAACTTTCCCAAGGCCAACAGCTAATAAATTGGGACAGACGCAAACCCTAGTCTGTTGACTCCCAGTCCTTCGTGGGTCCCTTGACTCAGAGCTCAGGAACGTGGAGTTGGAAGGACTCAGAAGGAGCTTATACAATGGTACTTTTCTGTCGCCAGATGACTTAAAAGTCAGTCTAAAAAATGTTGGCCCGATGTTTCCCCAACTTCACTGCTTCAACAGCCTTTCTGTACAGAGCCTCTTCAAAAGCTCCATCTCTAAATTGCCATTCCCCCTATGCCCTGCATACAAACAGATACAGGTCTCCCCTGTACTGTGCTAACCACACAGATAATTCTCCACTACACCCTCCTGCTTCCACCCAGTGTCTTAGGCTCCGCCTCTACTCCCTCACCTCCTACTCTCCTTCTGCTCCACTCCCTCCATGGGATTCAAAACTCAGAAGTGAGGGGAAAATGCAAAAGCCCATGTCCTCTGCTCCATTGCATCTCTGTTCTCTCTTGGTACCACTTGGCATTGTTGATGCCTCCTACTTCTCAAGACATCCTGTGTCACCTCCCTTGGCTTCCGTGAGGCTCCTGTGTAGGGAAGAAAACACTCGATTTTCTGTTTCTTTCAACAGAGTCATTCTCACTCTTGGCATGTCACATACCCAGAATGTCCCCCTCCACCATCTACACCAGAGCTCAGCAAACTTTCTGTAAAGGGCCAGATAGTAAATATTCTAGACTTTGCAGGCCACAAGTACTCAACTCCATTGTCTCTCAAAAGCAGCACAGACAATATATAAAGGAGCGGGTGTGACTGTGTTCCAATAAAATCTCATCTATGAATATTAAAACTTAAATTTCATGTAATTTGCATGTGTTATAACACACTATTCTTTTTTTCAAATTTTTTTCAACCATTTAAACACCACTCTTTGCTCACAGGTCGGTATGAAAACAGGCAGTGGGCCAGGCAGTTGACTGCCAATCTGTGATCTACACTACAAAATCCAACCCATCTTTAAAATCTGGCACAAATCCGACCACTTCCTCAGAGCATTCTTTAAGGACCCCAGATTAAACGGACATCTTCTTCTAAATAAGTACATCTAAACAATCCAACCGGCAATCATCATCAGTATCTTGCCCATTTTCCATATTGTTGCCTGAACCATTAAAAAGGTTTAAATAGCCTGAAACATTATACTGTACAACAGAAATTGACACATTGTAAACTGTGCTTCAATAAAATTTAGAAATTATTAAAAAAAAGTGAGCTATAAAATAATATATTTAAAAGGCATAAAATAAATACCCCTGTCATAAAAAATGGTTTAAATATTTTACTGGTTTTACATTTTTCACATATATAAATATTGTCTTCCTAAACAGACTACAAAATCCTCAAGAACAGAAACAAGGTGTTTCATTTGTTTACCCTCCTTGGTGCCTTACCATTGTAGGTGTTCGATAAATGTCAGTGTGTGATACAATGGTAACATTAATAATATATTTTAAAACAAACTGTTATTAAACAAATGAATAAATGGAGACTTACGTGTCAGCTGTTTCAGGCTCTGGCTAAAAGCTTTTGTATACGTTAATACATTAATATTTATTTCCATTTACCCTCACAATGGTACAGTGATCTCAGTAGTATTATCCCCATTTTACCAAAGAGGAAGAGACACAAAAGCAATTGACTAGCCCATGTCATTCAAATCTACTTACTTCATACCCTGGGTTCTACATTTGCTTCAGTTCAGATGGAAGAAGGAAAGTCTTTTTTCTATAATTATGCTCATCATCATCCCTTTCAGAACCATGCAGCCATGGATGAAGAGAACAGACGGAACCAAGTGTAAAGTGTGCAAATGCTTGATGAGCTTATTTTATCTGGGTTCCTCTACCAGAAATCATGTCCATCCTTGACCCCTCCCTGTTCTTAACCCTCTAAATCCAATCTATCACCTCTTGTTGCTTACTCAGTCTCAGTTCTGCCCACTTAACTCTTCTCTGCTAAATCCCTTCAAAATACTCCTGTTGGTCTCCCCAGCTCAAGGCCTGCCTCTTTCCAATTCATTCTTCACTCTACTATCAGAGACCTTTCTAAAGCATAAATTTGCTCATGTTACTTTCCTGCTAAGCCTTTCAAAGATATGCCTTCACCCTTAGGAGGCATCTACATCCCTCGAAGTGGTAGATAAGACCCTCCTCCATCTAGACCCTCCTTGACCCCTATGCCTCCCCACACACCACACGTGCCCTCGTGCTCTGTGCCCCAACTTCTTTCAACAGTTCCGTCCCATCACGGTCTCTGTCCTCAGCCTTGCCCTTGCATCCTCTAGGGAGATTTCTGTTGTTCTCTTCAGCAAATGGAATGGAAGACCTGGATCACAGAGGGCCATGACAAGGATTCCAGTTCCTGTACCACAGGGCCCTCTGCTTAGAATTCTTCTCTTTCTCTTCTTTACCTAAATAGTCGTCATTCACCCTTCAAGGTTCATCTTTTGAATAAGTGAGTGACCATAATGCCATCCTACAAGGGACATTTCTTCCTCTGTACTGTTTTACCTATCCACACCTCTCTATTACCTTGTTTTGCAAAGAGATCTTCTGCCTCAACACATTTAGCTACCTGGTTGCTAATCTGATCTCCCAAGTTATATGCTGACTACTGAAGTGGGATGTTCCATGCTTCCTCCGTCTGCCCGCCTTCTACATTCCAAGATCATCAGATGGTGCACATCAAAAAAGTCTAGGAGAAAAGCTCTGTATTTACATCTCCTCTATACAGCAACAGCAGTCTACCTACCAACTGGCTTACTCTTCACCCAGAATACTCCCTTATAACTTCCCCACAGCTCCCAACACTACCAATACCTCAACATTATTCCAAGAGCCCAAGTCAATTAAGTCAATCTACTACCACCTATAGTGGACAGAGATGCACCACCCAATCTCTTTTCAAGGAATGACTTGCTGCCCAATGATAGGGGCATGACCAGCAAACAGACTACAGCGGTAAACTCCTCCTGCAGAGAATGCCCTTGACTGAGGTCAGGACCTTTCCACGGAAGCCCACATGTGCTGACTAAGAAAGGTAGGAATATAAAGATAATAGTCATTGTGTTCACCATGGGGCAGCTCGGATTTACTCCAGAGCTCCCTGCTGGGCTGACCAGGGCTTAACTGGGTCTGTATTACAGTTTGACCTCTTCCTCTGCCCATACCTGCTTTCTTCACTTTCCTTTCTCAAGTATTAATTCCTAATAAACATCTTGCACTCTAACCTTCACCTCAGAGTCTGTTTCCAGAAACCCCACGCCGCAACACCATCACATCAAAATACAC